CCTATTCTAGAAGCAGTACACTTCTTATCCAAGAGGCTCCTTTGGTTGGAACAGTTGCTCTTTACTAAAGCTCCCAGGATTACCACGAGAATCGACACCGACATGTGCTTTCCATTGTAAAGAGGTCAAATCTAATCGTATTTCTATCAAACAAGAAATATGGAGTTTGTCGCTAAATAATGGAGAGTCACAGCGAGCGGCGTCGGGGGACGATCTTGTTTGTCCACCGCGAACATTTACAACCCGACCGAGCTATTTTTTTTCGCAGTTGCTTGCGTGTTAAATTTTTTATCTGCGTTTTCAAAGCGCAGGCCAACGTCGGAGGAGCGCGGGGGTCAGCGGGTGCAGCAGAAGGAGGGAGAGGAGCGCAAATGGGCAGAAAAGCGAGATAGCGATGGACGACATGTGTGCGTGTGTGTGTGTGTGTGTGTGTGTGTTTACGACATATTTGAGAAGGGGTCAGCCAGAGTTCCCCTGTCAGTGAAATGTGGCTACGTGAGGGAGCAGTGGCAGCGTTTGTATTTTTCCAGCCGTCACGTTCTGCAGGATGGAGCACGTTTGCCTTTCAGCTCGCAATTAAAACTATAAAACCGTGAGCTGGAGCGGCTGCGAGCGAGAATCAGACTCGTTTAGTTGAATCAAATGTAAGAGGGACGGTGTTTTATGCTTATGCTGTGGAAATTTAACAAGGATCATATGATAGCAGTTAATGAAATCGGGGCAGAAGGAAACCTGTGAAAAGGAGTGAGTGACGGCGAAAGAAGACGAGATTATAAACCAATAAACTGGCTGTGTAGCGCAGTTACGCTCCTTAAATGTTTTCCTGATTGAAAAAAATGAAGGCGTCCTGATTAATATCCATTGTTTCTCTCTCCCCCTTTTCAAGGAAATAGAATTCGGTGTGTTTAAGTCCCTCCTCGTAACGTCCTAATTTCCCAGTGTGGGACTCCATTAGCCGTTGTGGAATGGACCGGCGTGAGTGGAGCGAATATCGACTGGAACAACTGTTCCAACACGGAGTATTAATGTCAGAAAGAATAGGCCGTTACATTAGGCGCAGAAATTCTTTTTTGGAATCAATAGACACACACTCAGCGTCCAAAGGGAGGCCAGTAGTGAAAGCCTAAGTGCTAAGATAAACACCATTTGATTGGGTTAACAGAGGCACCTCTGTTTAGACCTGCTGCTCTGTCTCACCATAATATTAGGTTGTCTGTCTCCTCTTTCGCCCTCAGGTTATTGAGCCGGCTCTATTAGTGAAAATCAACTTCACTGTAATGCGTGGAGGAAGATTGGATGTACAAAATATGTTGATAGTTGGGCCTGGTTGCAGGAAAAAAAACTCACTTACACCTTCAGTTTCTTGATTGTATTTAACTTCCTGCAACACCATGACAACAGTAATCCATTTGTGAAATAATCCAACAGTGATATCCTCAACTGCATCCGTCAACCGAAGGAGGTTCACCGTTTGTCCTGAGGGCAGAGTGGTCGATTCTTTTGGTCGCCGTTTCGTGTCTCAGTAGATTTCGACCGCCAGACGCCGCTTATAGTTGCTAAGAGGAGTTTGGAGGTAAAAGATGTCAAGGAGAGCAGCAAATTACTTGAACCGGGAACAGAGGACTTTGAGAGGCCTCTGCCTTTATTTAAAAAGGTGTCAGCAGTTCCGCAGCATCTTGCTGACAAGACAGACATATTAGAGGATCTCTACATCTCCTCCTTATCAGACAGTTATGTAGGCCAAGAGACCCATTTGCATTTCACTCTACCCTTGCTAGCATCACTGCAAGTACTGTGAAGGCAGTGATAACTCAGAAAAAAAAAAAAAACAGTCTCTGGGAGAGACTCTTTGAAGCTGGGCCCCAATTTAGGTCATCCCAGAATTGTTAAACAACAGCTTTGCCCTTAGAACAAGACAGCAGACCAGGAGCTTCACTTTATGTATTTGCTCGTATAAAAAGGAGGTAGAAGCCTCTAAATTAAGCTAAATAGGCCACTGAGGTTCATTTTGGCCAAAAAAAAAAAAGTGGTACAATGCGCCGCAACACTTGTCCCAGGTGCTCCGACTAATTCTGTGGATGGATTCTGTCGTGTTCAGCACACTGTGTACTTGCGCTATGTTACACTTTTTATAATTACATTAGGCAAGCGGACATTTTTCATGCAGCGTCTGGAAACCGATGTTTTGTAATTGCAATACTTCCGAAAGGGTTCACAAGCGGGTTAGAACACTCGAGCAAAAACTCCGGTGCGGCTTTTGTGCGAGCTTAAGTGCGGCGCTTAGCATAAAACCTGAGATATATTTGGTAAGGCGATGGCACTGTTGTCGACAATCGAAGCGGCCGTCGTTCAAAGGGTCCTGATCTGATGTGAAAATCAGAACAAGCCAGCAGAGCGAGACTGAATTATGAAACATGTTGTCAGTGTTAATTTTTTATTTTTTTTTTAGCTCTAATTACAAATATTGCTAAACAGGCCCGAGAAAACACTGTGTTCTCATCATGCCCTCATGCTTCATCTGCTCGCTGCTGTGTGTGTGTGTGTGTGTTTCTGCATGCGGCACATTCGCACACATGCGGTCGTGTGCGCGTAAAAATGCACCTCAGGGGATGTGTCGTCTGGTGATTGCATATGTTTATTAAAGTACATCTCCACTGTTAAGTCGGATGCATCTTTTAGCGCAGCTTCCGCATGCCGTGGTGCGCACCGGTGCGTTCATACATGTAACTGTGTCTGTGTGTGAATGCGTGTGCATGCAAAATAAGGCGCTGGATGTGTGGACTGTTTCAACAGATGGCCTTTTCAACACACTCGCCTCTCATCTAGAGCTCTTGCCAGCCCCAAAAACACACACACACACACACACACACAAACACAAACACATACACACAGTCCTGCACAGAAATTCGATCACACAACTCGCGGTTGCCAAAGCAGTTGCATAATGCATCATTTTTGAGACAGCAGACACTCATGAAGGATGAAGATGTGACTGCGAGGAGGAACATTTGGTTAACTGTTGCACCGTGTTGCGTGTCGCTTCTATGTTTAGCAGTTTGCGAAGCCTGCGTATAATCAGGCCTTTTTTTTTTGTCGGTTATCAAGAACAAACCGGGGTTAATTATTCAGCTTTCAAGTCCCGAAACAGTAGCGTCCAGTTCTTAAATAGCCGTAATGACAAGTGTAATTATACTCTTAACAGAAGCCGCAAACACAACTGACAGTAATCTTGGATCAGAAGCTATTGAGGGATGAATGCTTGTTGAGTAAAGAAGTGGCAGGTGACACCATTTATGGCTGTCTGCACCCTCCAGAGGGAGTTCACTGGAACATGGGCTGCAGTACTCGGAAAATGGACTTTCCAAATTTGGGAGGAAAGGGGGGGAAAACATCTTGGGAGTGCCCTTTAATGAATATGTGACACACTGTAGTTTAGGTCAAGGCAGGCTTTGGTTTTCTGGTTTTTAAAGACCACACCATTCCTCTGCTGATGGGTTTCTTTGTAAGTGAGCCTCTTGTTTTGTGCACAAAATCCACAGTTTGTTATGTGTTCATGGTTGTAAATGTAACAAAAATTCTCTTTAACCTAATTGGCCTTAGTTCTTGCTGTAATATCTTCGACAGATGCTGAATGCTGTCAATAAGAAAGGATTGAACTGTTTACTTTTGCTGCCATTGGGCACAAATTCCACACAAACACCCCCAACAAATTGCTATTCAAGTGGCCTGAATGGAAATTAGACTTCTGCCCCTCCTCAGACTTTAGAGAATCGAGCCCATGATGGGATTGCTTTGGACAATCACAAGTCTTTTCAGGGAGATTATACAACATTGGCTGCTTTACAAATGAAGAATACGCTTACACAGCCTGAAATCCTGTAGGAAAGTTGATACTCCAACACTGGCAACAAGAGCCTACACTACAAACAACCCCCCCCAAAAAAAGACACACGCTTGTCAATAAACGCGATGAAGCGTGTCAATATCAGCAAAGCATTTCAGATATGGAGAGAACTTGGCAGTTGCATCGGCCTCAAGTTGCATTCCAGGCTCGCAGTTGTTCTCCTGTACCGGCAAGCTGCCGTCATCGCTCAAAAAAGGGCTTTGCAGGCGCACAATAGCTGCTATTTAACAGCTCTGGGTTCACGATCATGATCGGTGTGGTTGAAATAAATGACTAATAGGCCTACATTGTACGATGTGTGAGGCACATGCATATTCCTGTACCAATTGCTTCCTCAGGGCAAAGAGGGATAAACTAAAGGAGGTATTTTCAAAATGCTCGCTATTATTTATTCTCTTTTGTTGTTGTTGTTGCCATTTCTATATTTCTGCCCACTGCAGCTTTAAGACAAAGGCCTATTCATAGTGAACTTAACCAATAAAACCAACACTACACAGCCATGCCGTTGGACTTTTGGAATCATCAGTGACCACAGTGACTTTGGGCTCAGTCGATTGACCCGTACAGTGTGAGCGCTGCACAGGAATGCTGATTAAAGCTCAAACTCAATGTGTAGTGTAAATTAATGCATCCGACATGAGTAATAGAAGAAGCTCATGGACACATCTGAAAGTAATTTCATACCAAACTGAGCAGCTCGGGACAAATACAAGTCTTCTAATTCCTATTACATCCTTGTATTCACCGATACAGATCCTGTCTTGTCGGCGTGTAACCTGCGAGCGCTAAAACAAGCCTATACAGGTGTATTGCATATCTCACAGATGGCTGAATCCTGGGTTTCATTCCGAATGCACTCCGCATGTGTCGCCACTTGCTGCCAGTGTTAAGAACACTTCAGCAGCACCGTCCTAACCAGCACTGGCAGTGATTATTGGCTCTTGATTACGGTGGTGCGCTAGCAAGAAGCCATGTGTTCACTGTGATTTTCCCTCTCATTAATCTGCCACACTCTGTCTCTGCCTTTTCCCCCCTCTCCCTCTTTATGTCTCTCTTCGCCTCCCCCTTCCTCCTCCTCCTCCTCCCCGCGGATCAGGAAGCCTCGTCCCGTCTCCCAGCTCGTCTCTCAGCAGCAGGTAACGCAGCAGTTCGTGTTGCCCTCGCAGCCCAAAAAGGAAAAGAAGGAGAGAGTAGAGAGGGAGAAGAGCGACAGAGAGCCGGCGCTCAAGAAGAACAGTCACAAGAAGATGAGGTAAACAAGCTGACACCAGGTTGAGGGATCAACAGGAATCGGATATTACAGGGATGCACGAAGCAACACTGGAAAATCTAGATGCTGTTTGTATTGCCACCTGGAGTTGGGCTGTCATATTTCATAAAGTACTTCAAGTGGAAAGAGAGGGGAAACACCAGAAATGAATTTCAAAGTAGCAGCAGGGAGGTTTTCAGTGGCATTGTGCTGAAAAGATGTTTTCACTTTGGGTAAACTGAATCAAAGCTAGTACTTTGCTTTTTTTTTTGATGAAGTACTTCAAAACCTCATGCAGGATTTTACAGACTTATGTAGTATTCTTAAAATGCCCAACCATAATCTACTTCTTTCTGCCCGCTCATCAGGCCGAGATTAAAAAACATCGACCGGAGCAGCGCCCAGCACCTCGAGGTGACGGTTGGGGACCTGACAGTCATCATAACGGACTTTAAGGAGAAGGCCAAGCCCTCGTCCACCTCGGCCACCTCCTCCAGCTCCGCGTCGTCGGCCGACCACCACAGCCAGAACGGCTCCAGCTCAGAAAACACAGAGAAGGGCCTTTCCTGCTCCTCCTCACCCCGAGGAGAGGGGAGCTCGGTCAACGGAGAGTCCCACTGAGTCGGCCCACCCCCTCAAAAAAAAAAAAAAAAAACAACCTCCCCGCCTGGTCTACATCTCATCTGCAAGTCCACCGGTCACCAGTGGAGCATCCTGCCTCTACTTCAGAGCTGCACAACAGTCTTACTTTCTTTTGGATATCTCAGTTCCAGTAGGAATTTTAACAAGTCAGATTTGGCGAGTTTAATCAGTTGAAAGATTTTCCACAGCAGCGGATTTAGAAAGCAATATGAAACACCTTTTTTTTCTGCCTGTTGGAAGCTTTTAAATTGGATTTTTTTTTTTGGTGTAATCAAAAGGATGCCACGCACTGTCCAAAGCTCGCTGCTAGAATATTTACTCACAGACAGCTGTATTCTGACGAGGATCTTCTTCAGAACTGACCTGAGAAATATGTCTAAATAAAGTTTTGGACAAACTGTAGACAGAGTGCTGGATCCTCTCGCTTTATGATTTCCTTCAGGTGCATCATGAATCATCTTTTTTTTTGTTCCCCTCCCCTACAATATTTTTCTTCAGTGAAATGTGCAGCCCTGCTCTCACCATCATCATCATCATCATCAGTGGCCGACAGAGTGACCTATTCTTCCCCCATGTGGAATTCTCTGCCTCTGTCTGGAATCTTTACCTGTTGTAAACCTGAACCACCTGTTTGCTCAGTGTCCCCGCACTGAACCTGCAACCTGACAGCAAGCCTTCACTCCCGATCTCGATACTCTAAGCTTTTGCTCCTGGACTGCCTCTGCTGTAGAGTGACTTTTGTTTTGTTTTTTTTTGGAACAGCATAGCGACTGTACTCCTCCCGGCACCGTTTGGTGCTTTTTGCATAATGTTCGGAGCAGACTGGTTCGTGAAATGTGACTGTTATGTTGCTGTATAGGCACCTGTCAGGAAAGCACGTCGTGATTTTAAAGGGAAATCCTGGTGTCATTGTGTTTTTCAGGTTTGTGCCACCATCTGCTAAGCTGCAGATACAAACAACTACTTTGTCGTCTTGATTATTTTGTGTATTAGCTATCACCAACTTAAAGAATCGCATTAATTCATGACTTGACAGAATTATTAGTAGCTATACATCAGGTTTAGCTTTTCGTTTTGGCTCACAGACTAGCCATCGACCACACATTGTCCAGTGATGCTGTTCGATGCTAGCTAGTGAAGCCCAAAGCAGATGATGGATGGATGAAAATTGTGCTCATGTTAATTAAAAATGCTAGATCTAAGGTATACACCAATCAGCCACAACATTAAATGTTTTCTAGGCTGATCTTGTGCCACCAAAGCAGCTCTGACATGTCACGAACTTCATCAGATCTCTGAAAACGTCCTGTGGTATCAGACATTAGCAGCAGATCCTTTCAGTCCTGGAAATCGTGAGGCGGGACCTTCATGGAATCAAACCTTTCAGCACATCTACAGATTGATCTCTTGGAGATTTCAGAGGCCAAGTCAACACCATAAATTATTCCTTAAGTCATTCCAGGAGAATTTTTTTGCAGTGTGGCAGGAAGCATTGTCCTACTGAACCATTGCAGTGAATCATACCGTTATGATGAAGGGGTATACGTTCAAAGAAACATCTACATTAATTCCAGAACCCAAGGTTTCACCACACTGCCTCTACCATCTTGCCTTCATCCCATAATGCCATCTGTTCCCCAGCTAAACAATGCACATGCACCTGCCTGTCCACATGACGTAAAAGAAAACCCTTCAGACCAGGCCACCTTCTATTTCTCCATCATACAGCATTAAGGTTTCTTTGTGAGACAGTAGCCCCTCTGTGGAATTGGACCAGTTTTCATTTCCATTGCATCAGTTACTGTCGCCAGGACCGCAGGTAACAGAATCGACCTGCCATTTCGGAGATGCTCCGACCCAGTTGTCCAGCCGTCACAATTTGGCCCATTTTTCCAACACGTCAACTTCAAGAACTGACTTTTAACTTGCTGCCTAACATATCCCACAACTTCAATGTTCTTCACCTCACCTTTCACTTGTTGTGGCTGATTGGTTGGTTGCCTGCTCGGTAAATATTTTGCTAACATACTAGCCATAATAGCCAAGATCAGCAGTATCTAAGTGCTGTTTCATTGGGTTAATATCTTTTGGGCCCTCTAGCTTTTAAAAAAAATTAAATTACTTGCAGCTTTAGGAATTACCCAATCTTGTAATGCACAACAGTCTTGGTCATACTTCATTTGTCACATGAAGAAGACGAACCCTGTTACTAATCACTGCCATCCGTCATGATAATGTCCCACCATAGTTACTGCTCATCACATTTTATTTTCTTAAACGAGAGCCAGGTTTATCACAGCATAGCTTCAGACATGGAAAAAAAAAAAAAAGAATTGCACAACGCCTGAGGAATTGTCAATAAATGTAGAACGCGCTAAAGGGGTCATAGCTATAAATGACACCGGTATTTTCCTTCATAATCTGTCTGTGCTGCACAAACAGGGCTGCACCCGTCGGCTGTCTCGGCGGAGAACCGGAGGGTGCCGACGCCGCTCTGCTGCACCCACCCTTTTTGGATACGGGAAGCAGAGCCGACTTACGGACACGCACTTTTATGAGCTGTATAGGTGATGTCTCACAGTGTGATGGACTTTAGAAAAACTGACGTAGCAAAATGGCAGACCTTTAGAGCGCACTAAACTCCCAGCAGAACAACTATAGATCAACCTTACTACACAATAACTTATAAAAACCTGTAGAATAAGTACAGATTAAATAGATATTTCTAAAAATATTGTACTACAATGTTTTGATGTGGTTGTATTATCCATCATACAAGTGTTATTGTCGAGATTTTTACTTAACATTTTAGCACACATCCTGAGAACTGTCATGGCATGATAATATTATGGTCTTGGTATATTGTGGGACAAGCCGATGTCTCTTAGTTCGTTAGTATTGTTTCATGTGTCAGACGTATTCTCTCAGGTTCGCGACTCTAGCTGGGACTAGGTGTGTGAACTCGGGAAGAACTGTTGGGACAAACATTTGCTTATCCATGGCGATAAAGGAAAGACACTTAAAATGTGTTAGTGTCACTTATTAATATAGGTTTGTTTTTGCTTTGCCATGCTCATTTGTTTTAAAATGTGTGAACTTGTTTATTACATGTCTGAATAAGAAAATTACAAAATTCAAACAGAAAAAAAAAAAAATCTCTCTTATGTGCACAGTTTTTCTTTATTTCTCTCTTACGCACATGTTCTTCATTCTTGCTTTTTTTTTCAGCTGGTTGTTTGCAGGTTTTAGCGCCATCTGGTGTTTAACTCAGTAACTGCTGCTGTCTTCAGTCTTGTGTGTCTGCAGTGAAGGATGCTGCAGTTTCAGGACCACACTTGTAGGACCCTTGTTTTATCGTGACAGTGCCACCTACTGAATTGGATGATGAGTGTGCGACTTTTGATTTTAAAAAGTTTGTTTCACCCAAACACACCTTTGTAAACAGCCAATATACGATTTTATAAGTTTCATTCCGCTCAAAACACTACTTCCTATAGAAGCAGTTACTCAATATAAAGCATTATTTGGGTGGAATAAACCTTAAAAATAAAAAGTATGGTTGTAAAAAGGTTGGTCCAACCCAAAAAACCGTTTTCTGTCCAATATCCTATAATTTTAAAGGTTTATTCCACCCAAAATACCACTTCCTGTAGAAGTACTGATGACTATTATAGTACTATTTGGGTGGAATAAACCTTTAAAATTACGAGTTATGTTTGTAAAAGGTTTGTTCCACCCTAAATACCGTTTTCTGTCCAGTGTCCTATAATTTTAAAGGTTTATTCCACCCAAAATACTACTTCCTGTAGAAGTACTGATTACTTATACAGTACTATTTGGGTGGAATAAACCTTTAAAAATATGAGTTATGGTTTTAAACCCAAAATACTGCTTTCTGTTGAAGCCCTTATCATTTTAAAGGTTTATTCCACCCAAATAGTACTTCCGGTCTTGGTACTTACAGTTTAAAGGTTTGTTTCACCCAAATAGTGCTTTGTATTTAATAGGTTTAAAGGTGTATTCCACCAAAACTTCTACTTTCCGTCTAAGTGCTATTTGGATTAAATAAACCTTTAAAACTGAAAATTATGATTTTATACCCAAAATACTACTTTCTGTGTAAGTACTTATTGTTTTAAAGGTTGATTCCATTCTACATACTGCTTTCTGCTCAAGCACTTACAGTTTTAAAGATTTATTCCACCCAAATAGTACTTTGTAACTGATAAGTTATGGTTTTAAAGGTTTATTCCAATCAAAAATGTATATATTTTTTCTTGTTTCTTCTTTCTTTTTGCCAGTGGATGTGGACTAGAAAAGCTTCCCTTTGGAGTGACCAAAGTGAAAATGAAGCTTCCTCTGCTGCAGACACTTGCTACTCATCTTTCTCACAATACATGCAGGTTTAAGGTTCATTTAACAGATTGTGCATTATTTTATATTAGGGTCCAACACTTTCATTTTACCATTTTTGTCAACCCACATAATAGCTACTTAATTGTAAAAGCCGTGAGCATCAAATGCTTACTGTTACGCACCAATTAATTCAGCCCTATGTTAGTCTACAGCATTGTTTTTCCAACACCTAATGAAAATGCAATCTCAGTTTAGATCTGTTTGTAAAATGCAGCCACCTCAATAGAGACGACTAGTCACTTAAAGCCACAGTGAATGGGCCTTTTCAGAGGTGGAACCCATTGAATGTTGCTGCAGACGGAGCCTGACGGGGGTTTTGTGGGGGGGAGAGTGGAATCAACTTTGGTTCTCGCTCCCACCCTTCCCCCATTGAGGGTCTCGACCTCCTGCTTCTGTTGCACGAGCTGCATCAGGATCAATGGACAAAGACGAGACCTGCAAGGGAGATGCTGCCGCCTTCAAAATAAAAGTCTGGAAAATAGTGGAGAAGATGGAAAGTGGGTGAAAGTAGTATGTCTGCAGCAAAGGAGGCTGCAGTTAGAAGGATCACACTTCTCGAGCCCATGTTTATTTATTTTTGTCTAGATTTTGATTTGAATAGGGGATATTAAAGGTTAATTTCACCCAAAATACCACTTTTGTTTATTTCAAAAGTTAAGTATTTGCTTCACCCAGATAGTGCAATGGGAAAAAAAAACACGTTATAGTTAAATGACTGGTTGGTTTTTAAGAATTTAATATAGTGCCTGAAGACTAGTGCAGTTTGTTATTCCCACTTTAGCAAGGCAGTGGTAACTTTGCTGCTAACATCAGTCAGCAGTTTTAATGTTAAAACGATGAAACTTGAGTCACATTCTATATTTACGCTGGGTTTTGTTGTCCATCTTGGCCAAAAAAAAACTTGCTTTAATATGTGCTACTTTCTTAGTTGTCAGTTTTGGATACAAAAACAACACAACAACAACAACAACAACAACAACATGAAAAACAAGGTTCCCAGAAAGATCTGCTGAGAACTGGATGCACTAAAAATATATTTATTTGAAATGTTTGATTTGTATTAAGAGGGGTAAATTAAAACTGATAAAGCAAATAATTTCTCTTCTTTGGTCCGTGACAAGAAAACAAGACTGTATAAGGAAATATGAAAAGTTTCAAGTGTATAATGTGCCATACGGGGTGAAAAAAAAAATTAAAATGTAAAAAATATATGTATTTAGAATGTAGCTGTCAGATAAGATATTTCAATCTCACAGGTGGAACATTTACAGCATTAAAACAGCAAAAGAAATAGTGCAAAAATGTAGGAAGATCAGTCGAAACATAAAAATATTAAAGAAATGCATATAGTACTGTTGAAGGGTCATCTATGTGTAGAAATTCAAAATATTGCACAGAATCATCTGAATGTGGAAAAATATTGGCATTGCACATATCATTCCAGTAGAAGTAGAAAAAATACAACATAATATTTAATATAAAGCAAACATAACAGGCAAACATATCTGCAATATTTTCCAAACCCATCAGAGGGCGCCATTTCTCCCCTGCAGCGAGCTCCTGATAGTTTTATTTTGTCAACTCCAACCGGAAGCGCGTTGCCATGGTGTCGTGATTTGCGGCTATTATTAAACGTTAGTTTCTGTGTCATGACTTTGGCTCCGTTTAGCGTTGTTAAACTCCATAATGCGGCGTTACATTCGTGCACTGGCCCTGTGCACGGTGTTCGCCGTGTTTTCGGGCTTGTACGTTTACAGTAAACTCTTCTACTCGGACGTTTCGCCCGGACCGAAGAGGGTCTTCGTCCCACCGAGAGTCCCCGGAGCCAGGCGAGGGGCCGCGGACAGAGCCGGGCCCCAAAACACCCACTGGTACAACAGGTAGGACGGGGTTTACAAGTGTTTAATGGCCTGAAATTTAAATATTTGATAAGATGTTTGTAGTTATGCAGGTAGATAGGTGTCTGGGCCATTCTGTATTAACTCTGGTGATGTATAGGAATGTGAAGGCTGCTACAGCTAACACTGTGTCTCACTATAGCTGAGATGTGTAGCTACACATTTAGCTCACATTATTGACACCTACTTATTAAAGTATTAATCACAAACTGGGTATATATTACATATATCTCATCTTGTTAATACCACTCATTATCTTCACCTGTACATGTACATATAATTATCTTTAGTTTATACTGTAGCATACTGTGTGTGTACACACCATATTGCTTCTTATGGACCTCTGGTGATGCTACACTACATTTTCTTGTCTCAAAACTTTGTGTAATGACAATAAAGTTGAATCTAATCTATTCCAAAGCAGATGTGGTTTCACCCTTTAGTAAACCATGTTTACTAAAGTGTCTATAGCACGTGTTGTAGATCCACACCTGACTGTTTGACTCAGAGAGAACAGTTTACAATCCCTTACATAGTCCACATGGATGTAAACAAGATCTCGTGGATTTTTGTCTCTGAAAAAGTCAGAAAATCTGTTTTAAAAGTATCTTTAAATTGCTTGTCTGCCCAAAAAATAGACTTTGCTGTGACATAGAACAAACATCAAGAGGAGGATGAGGCCAAATTCAAACAGCATAGCCAGTTCAAGGATTTATTTGGCACATTTATGATTTAAAAGCTACAATGACTAATTTGTTGTCAACCATTGAAACAGTTGTCAACTGTTTAAAAAAATTTAAAAAAAAGTCAATTCATCAGTTTGAGAAATTTTCAGAGAAAACAAAAAAAGTATAAATTCACAAATTCCAGCTTTTTAAATTTGAATATTTTGTTTTTTCTCCTCCTTTATGACAGCAAACTTGACCTCTTTGGGTTGTGGCAAAACAAGATATTTGTCATCTTGGTTTGGGGAACCACTGATCCATATTTTCAAATGAGTTGGTGAATCAAGAAAATGATCGACAATGAAAAAAACATTAGCTGGAGCTCTATAATGCGTAGTGAAATGTGGAGGGCGTTCGATGTTAAAACATCCTTAGGTGGCTAAATAGGTATATCTTTCAGTGATCATTTCCTTATTTCTTAAAAATAAGAAATAAATGAGTGTGATGGCTTTACAAACAAAAAATAAAAGGATGTCAAACTGAAATCACACATTCTTTGGAATCTGGGATTATAACAAATGCTAACTAGTAAGAATTACAACCCTGATAAAGACGTTTGTGAAAGCACACAGATGCCTCCCATACTGTATGTTTATATACTCAGGATTCAGAGCACCTTGGAAGGTTAAATCTCTTTACAGACTCCCAAAGTGTATCAGTTTGTACATGTGTAAGTGTATAAGTTCCATGTTCCCCATTAAAACTGCATATGGACATGTAAATAAAAAGGGCTGCAAGGTGGGTCAGTGGTTAGCACTGTTGCCTCGCAGCAAGAAGGTCACCGGTTCGCGTCCCAGTGAGGACACCCGGGATCTTTCTGTGTGGAGTTTGCATGTTCTCCCTGTGCAGTGTGGGTTCTCTCTGGGTTCTCCGGCTTCCTCCTTTAGCCCATACTGCATCGGATTTAGGACACAAACACTGTCATTTGTTGAAGATTCTCCCTGTAATGTACAACCTGGACACCTCCACCATGCTGTCTTACACAGACTTGGCAGTGTGTATACTCGTTTTTTTTTTTTTGCTGGTTTAGTGTAAACATTTTTTGTTGATTTAAAAAAAAAAAAAAAAAAGTGTTAACATCTCATACATTTTGCTTCCATTTAAAGATCCCTTTGATCTTCCATGAATATTACGGATTTTTCCATTCGGCCACACAGTAGGGCATCCAAAGGTTGAGATGTGTGCCAGAATAACAGGTGTCCCACTCTGTGTCCTCGTTCTCTCAGGTACATCATGCGTCAGCGCGGTCAGATGGAGGCTGCTGGTGCCAGCCTTCAGAGCAGACCTGAGCCGCCCATGCACCTGGCTGTAGTGGCCTGTGGGGAGAGGCTGGAGGAGACTCTCACCATGATCAAGTCTGCTGTGCTTTTCAGCATCAAACGCCTCTACCTGCACATCTTTGCTGAAGATCAGCTCCACGCCAGCTTCATGGAGGCTGTGAGTAGGAAATATTTACCGCTTGGGAAATGTAGCTGTCAACCCTCTGAAATCCAAGCAGGTTCTGGGTGCTTTTTGTTGCTGTTTTTTTTATTTTCCCATCACATTTTTGTTGACTGTGGGCAAAAAGTTAGTGCACAACGAGGCTCAGTGGAGACATATGTTGGTTATTATTACATCAGCAGGACTATAGTAAGCATTAACCCTCTAAACCCCAAACAGTTTCTGCTCCTGTCACATTTTTACTCACTGCAGGTTCATTTCTCACTGGATTAATAAGGATGAATCTCTATGGAAACAACACAAACATAGCTACACAAAGTGATAACTCAGAAATGTTGTTTGTGCAATTTGACACAGTTATAATGCCACAAATCTTAAATTAATTCATTTTACAAAACTAAAAAATAAAATAAAATCTTGCTGTTGACTTGTCATGAATATGAAGTTGCACAAAGGAATAAATTTTTCATGAAGAGAGTTTTTTTTTGGCAAATTTCATGCAGATTAAAGTGATTTTAATGGGAAGAAAAAAAGATTGTTAGCTTCAATTTCCTGATGGAAGAGCACACCACAGTAATTAGTTCAAGGCTGTTGGAAAGTTGAAAATCTGACCATTCTTGCTGCTTTTACAGTTTCTGGCTCGGACTGCAAGACTTAAACTTGCTTGCAATGTCTACTCATTGTACAATATTCAGCACTGCCATGCTAGCAAGCTGTTTTCATAACAGTATTGGAACTTATTACATTTTAAAATGAGGTCAAAGCCTGTGTTTGTGTGCATGCCGCCCCTTTTTCCATGCAGTGGGCTAGTTTGCGCCTTACTCCCAAAAAGGAGATGAATGAATTCTTATTTGTGTTCCAGTTGGAGTCGTGGCCTGATTTTATTCGCTCCAGGTTCAACTACACAGTTTACTCCATCAGCTTCCCCAGTGAGAACGCAGCCGAATGGAAGAAACTCTTCAAACCGTGCGCTTCTCAGAGGCTCTTCTTACCTGTGAGTTTATTATAGAGAGAAACTGATGTTCATGTCGTAGCTGTTGTCATTGTGACATTCTCAGATTTAATGTTAAGGTTCTTCTTACTGTGAAATAAGTGTTATTTAGGCTTTAAAAGACTGTTTTGTGCCTTGATGTACTTGGAGTACTTCAATGAAATTTCAATGGAAGTTTGTTTTGACTTTCCCTGAGAAAAACAGCTTTTGTTATACAACCACAGATCATACTGTGTTTGCATCATCCAAAGCACCAAAGAGCATCCACATTATTAATATTTAAAGCGTCATCCCCGTTTCTCCTTTGCAGCTGATCTTGAAGGACGTCGACTCGATCGTGTACGTCGACTCAGACATCCTCTTCCTGCAGCCAGTAGACCAACTGTGGGGGTTTCTGTCCCAGTTTAATTCGTCTCAGCTGGCCGCCATGGCCCCAGAGCACGAGGAGCCTCGCATTGCCTGGTACAACCGCTTCGCCCGTCACCCCTTCTACGGCAGGACGGGCATCAACTCAGGGGTCATGCTCATGAACATGACAAGGATGAGGAGCACATTCTTTAAAGTAAGGCTAGAAACAGAGTGAGTTGTATGTTTTTTTACCCACTGTACTACCCGTGTTGACCACAAGATGTCATCCTTGTGCTGTAGTTTATGTGCCTCAAGGACTGCGAAAGGAATCAGTTTAGTTTCACTGTGAAGACGTGTGCAGAGAATCTATAGAGGAAGTCTTATTTGACTGTTGTGTACACATTTATGTTGACAGAACGACATGACATCAGTGGGGCTGCGTTGGGAAGAGCTGCTGATGCCTTTACTGCAGAAATACAAACTAAACATCACCTGGGGAGACCAGGACCTGCTCAATATAATATTCCACTACAACCCTGGTAAGACTGCACTCGCCAAGACACACACTAAGGCACATAAAGCATGTATACATATATAATGTTTGTTAGACACCACCGTATACTTTCTGCCAGAGAGTGCAGGATACCAAGTTTGTAAGCACTGATTTGTTGATCAAAGTGTTGGTGCGCCTCCGTTCCCAGAGTCCTTGCTGGAGTTTCCCTGCCAGTGGAACTATCGCCCGGATCATTGTATCTATGGCAGTAACTGTGCCTCGGCGGAGGAGGATGGCATCTACATACTGCATGGAAACAGAGGGGTTTACCACGACTACAAACAACCTGCTTTCAGGGCTGTTTACGAGGCCATTAAAAAGGTTGGTATGTTTGCAGGAGAGTGTGGGTGATGCTGGAATAATCAGGGTTTGTGAATTCAGCTTCGGTGCGCTTTATAGATGTGCTCTCATTTCAGTCCTTGCGTGTTGTTGAGCCAGCATATGGACTCAACAAACAGGGTTAGACCTGAAAAATGTAAATATCCTGAATTCAAACAGCTGAAGCATCAGCTGCTGGGATTGATCTTTAATGCATTTGATGTTGTTACATTTCTTAGTCGTGTGGGGACCAATTTTTGTCTCTATTGAAGATCAGTTTTTCCAGACAGAAATGTAACATTTAAAATATCAAGAGTAAGAAAGAAAAATAATATTTTAGCGTCCGTCTTCCTGTATGTCAGGCCTCAAGGGCTCTCTGCTTTAACAACATACAGTACAGTTCAGCTTTTTACAGTCGCTGCTCAGGTACCTCTCTTTTTCATTCAGCGGCGCCAGCACATTATTTAGGGATACTCGTATTTTTTTACCGCTCTGATACATTCTAAGCATAACCTTTTTTGTCTGTTCTTTTACATATTGGTAGTTTCTAACGCATTATGATTGTAAAACTGAATAAAGGTGCAGATAAGTCTTTTTTAATCCTTTTTTCATAAGGATGATCTGGGACTTAATCAAATTCAGTTCTTTTTTGTGGGATATATTATCAGTAGTGTTAAATTTTATTACATCTGGCTCCTTGCTTCAGTTTGCTGCTGATAAGCTGCAGGGAGAGTTGCTGGTCTGCTGCTTTCTTCTTTTTTCATGTCCGTTTGAAATGTTGGTCACATGCCTGTCTTAGCTGCTGTGCTGCAGTCATGATTGAGGAGACTAGAGGCTTCCCTGTGCACAGACACCTAGCTAGCATCTACCATAGCTTGCATGGAACACTGTAAGTTGTCGTGTATCGATAAGCAGATGTTCCACAAGTTAAGGATTTACCCAGTTTAAGAGTGGAAAATGTCAATTATTATTTTAAGTTAAATGTGTGACTCGCTCTCAATCTTGACATCGATGTAAAGCTAATATGTGCAAAACAGTCGCTCCAGGGCTAGCAGCGGAAGAGTTACTGGTTAGTGTAGAGCCCTGTTTTATCCACTGTGCAGGCTGCCCAGAGACACTCAGACAGACCTGCTAAATGTCAGGAGCACCAGTGTGACCAATGAAAATGTTAAGTTCCACCTAACAGATGTCCAACTGAAATGGTCTCACGCTGGCGCCCTGGTAGTTATACAGCCAAATATTGATGGTCGAAGGGGAAGACGAGAGGCAACTCAGTATTGCAGATCTCCCTTTTTTTTAACTTGAAAGTGCCGTGTTTTGATCACAAGTTCCATCAAATTACATTTTTCATTTTCATCAGCGAGTGGGAAGGAGCAGGCGCCTCCTGTTAAAGTCTCTGGGGTACATCAAAGTTTTAAAAAGGCCTCTGTGAGCCTTTTCAAAGTGTTACAGGTGTAATTTGGCGCAACATCTGATGGAAAAAGCTCTTTTATAACCCCAATGAACCCAGTGACACACCTGCTCTCCTCCGCTGCCCTGTTTCCTCACCCTCCCAGATGAGATTTTGGATTAGCTGCTGACCCTAAAACACTGAAAGTGCTTGTCACTTCAGATTGTCCGCATTGGAAAACACAAATCTCCACCCACTGGCAGAAGGTTGGAGTGAAAGCTAATTTGCCCCATGAGGATGTTTATGGGCTGCTTACCAGCAGTGTAATGATATTGACGACACGAGTGGCATTTACTTAATGAAGCCATCAACGCTGGGAGTCTCATTGCTTTCCTATTGAACATAGATCAGGATGATGGCTTATCCATACCTTATCCACGGCCCGCAGTTAAGACTGTGGCTTTATAGGACAGGATCAATTATGGCAGTGGACACACATCTACCTGTACTGTATGTGCTGGCAGAAACACCCACACAATGGAGTACACAGGACATGTTTTCCACCCCCAATAGTGATCATTTTTATAGATTTGTGATGAAATCTGGTTTGCCAGGAGGATGCAGGAGTATGGATTAATCATCTGTGTGTTTAATGTCTCTGGACAGACAATTTCATTCGTTTCAGCTCGTTCATCTGCAGCTTCAGGCTATTAAAGACGAGTAAAAGGACAGTTACACACTGGTGTCTTCGTAAAGGGGCAGGAGAGAAACAAACTGAAGGGCAAAGTAGTGTTGTGTGTGCTTTCACTCAATTTTGAAATGCTTACAGTTAAAAAAAGAAAGGAACAAAGAAAAAGTAAGTCACTCAAAGAGGACAGTGGCAATCCTTCCCTCCCTTTCACCACTCTGATCCCAGCTTATCTACTTTGAAGGACACAAAATATGCAATTTATCAGGGTTAACTCTTCCTGTTTTCATGTGCAAGTTTGCGAAACAAACTTCCACAAATGTCAGATGGAAAGTGGTCACATACAAAAAGAAAGGCTGGAATTAATGGAGCGTCCAAGAAAGCATAGCTGTCTGGCAAAAGTGTGACTGCTGCTTGGAGAGAGACAGATATACTGGATCAGATTACTGATGTGGAGCAGGTGTGTAGTCAGGTGAGTGGCCAGGTGAAGGTAGTTGGAGCACAAGTGAGGAATGACAGGGTCTGAATTAGAGGTTTTTAACTGCAGAAATGTTGGGTGTTTTCCAACATCCATACCACTATTCTAAATAGTATGCAAGAATAAGGTTTTGTATCTTTGTGTGTTTGCCAAAACATAGTATACCAAAAATCCCGGGATGTCCTACTACGTATGACTTTTCTGGCCGTTGTGACCCACAATCCTATGTACATTTATGTCTTAAATGGGCCGGTCAAAGTTTAGGTGCAGTATTATGCTCATGTAGTCTTTTCCAGTTGTGTGCATACAGCATGAAGGTGTACATACGTTGTCAGGGCTGTAGTAAGTACTTTGATTAGTAGGTGATTTAAATTGCAGCCTATGACTGATCAGCAGGTGGTACTGATTCCAGCATCGTTAGGTTTCTTTTCATAATATTGTAAAGTTGTGACCTCACTATGTGAAGAGTTAGCACCATTAAATGTAATTAAATTAAATCAGTAACATTAACACTTGCTCATAAATCAAGATGGTGAAAAACCAGGACACTGAAGCCAAAGCGTGTGATAATCTACACCTGTGATTTTCCCACTGTGACATGTCAAAAGTGTCATCTGTGAAAAAGGCCTATGGCTAGAGATAGAGATTGGAAACGCATGGCAGCTGGACATTTTTATAAGCCTCTGCAGCGGAGGATAGGGGGCGTTTCAGGGCACTTTTGTACCTGTGGAGCCGCTTTCAGTCAGTTTTTGAGGGAGAAATAGGCACCTCCTGCGGGAATTGATGCTGATTGGTTAAACTCGGAGAAGACAACGTTCATTCGTTAAATTAAGAGAGGACAATGAGCAGTTTTTATTGCTCCTCCTAATGTCCCCGTCAAATAGCAGTCATCTCTTCTCTAACGTTGTCATCAACACTGACAAAATCGTCATATAAGCTAATATAACAAGCGCCCCGTTGTTCTGTTTCCTTCACTGCAATGGAAACAAATGGTAAAAGGCTAGTGAGCCCGCCCCCAGTTCCTGGAGTGGAAACTTCGCACAGTCTTAGTGAGATGTTTCACGCCATTGTTGAACCTGATAGAGATACTGGAGAGACTCGCTTCTTAAAAAATCCTGAACAGAAATATAGAACAATCAGTGATGCCAAAGATGGAGGTTGTATGATACATTTCCAGCCCGTCCCACTAAAAAACAGCCGTTTACTCCATAACAGCCAAACTGGGGAACATTAACCCAATCGTATTGTTGCAGTGACGCAAGTGTGGTGTCATGAAACTGGAAGTATAAGTTGTTTTTGAGGCAACGTCACTAAACTTTTTCAGTGTTTTTGTCTTAGATTTGACTGGTGGTGCCACACATGCAGTATTTTATGGCCTGGTGACCACTGATTTCTTTAGATAGGGGCCTGATTTTGTTGGAAATAACTGCCTTGAGGTGTTACAAGAATGGTCAGACCTGCCTTTAAGCACTTAACTTAACCAAGTAGTCACAAATTCTGCTCACCAAATTAATCAAATGTTCTTCGTTGCAAATGGTAAAAGCGGTCTACACATCTCTGACAAGCTGATATCAACACATAAAGAATCCCAGCAGGACAAAGACTAATGAATATGTTCGGCTGAAACTAGTGATTTTTCCCCCTTTTTTTTTAGTTAATCCTTCTGGGTTAATCTTTCAACCAGCGCCATCAATCAAACAGTTAATATTAAACCGCACACAGCGTATGTAAATGAGCGTCCATGCTGTGTATCCTTAACACAAAGGAAAGAGCCAACAAACAGCAGCGCTCCTCCCCGTCTGGTTCTCCAGCAGACCACAGCGGTCCGTCCGTCATAAAGCATCTCCTCCCCTCCCCACCGCCGCAAAAAAGCCGAGCCTCCGAAGCAGCAGTTAAATTTTTACAACCGACCGGCACGTTTAGAGTCGGAGTCTGCGCACCGGCAGTGCCCTGTCAGCCGCACAAAATCAATACACCAACTGTAAATGCAACTTTATGACCGGCGGGTGTGTATAAGTATGTGCTCGTAAAAACGCCATTCTCTTTGTGACCCAATATCAGAGACTCCAACTGCAAGCAAATGAGCCGGCATAAAAAATGGTAATTCCCCTTTGATTTCCTCGGAGCGTTGTAAAGGCCCCTTCATTATTTGGAGGACATGAAATTTCTTCTGTAATCCCTGGTTATCGCTGGCCGGTAAGCCCATAGCATAAAAGTGACTCCAACAACACGGACCGCTTTATTTTTTCGCCCGCCACACCGATCAGATTGGGATTCCCATAAGACCCCGGCATGCCGTTCTGATTTAGTTTGCAATTTTTCCCGTGGAAAGCTATCTTTCAAGCCCAAATGCCGCCCAGAGCACCACTTTGCTTGCTTACTGAGGGAATCTGATCAATTCCAGCGGAACAGTGGGGGGGGGGGTTACCAGAGCGCCGTCCTCGGGGGAGTTGTCACTCCAGTTTCTGAGCCCACTCCCCGAACCTTTAGGCTACCACCACCCTCTGATTTTGAACTTTTCGAAGAAACGACGATGGAAGAGCGCAATTCATCCTGCCTGAGGAGCATGAAACCAGTTGGATACATAAAAGTTTCCTCCATCGCATACGAGCTACAAATGTTGCCACTAAGTTTATATTGATATTCAGCACAATACACATAAAAAGAGGCTGTTCTGCATTTTCCAGGCCCCGTCTTTACCATTTGAATGCTTTGCTTTTTACTGTTTGTCTCAATGTAGCAGACAAATACATCAAACTCAGTATGTTTTTCTTTCTAAATGCACGTTTCCACCTTTGGAATTTACCACCAAATCTAATTGTTTTGTCGTTCCAGTACGCTTTCGGCACAGACCCAACCACTTTTTTGCTGGATCCTTTAGAGGACGAACTGTTGGGGACCACACACACATATTGCGGCAAATCCCACTCGCTTTTTACCAAGAGACTGACGCGCAGCCTGGCAAACATCAACAGGAGGACTCCACGCGGGTGAAAGTGAGTGACAGTGATGAGGTAGAGGCCAGAACGAGAACAGCGCCTTCGTCTTAACTGTTACAACAAGAAATGGACTGCCTGATTTTGGAAAACCACCCAAGTGAAGCTTGTCTGTTTTGAACCGAAGGTTTATTTTGACTGATACACACAACAGGCAGCAGCTGGAGCCTGATAAACAAGTGGTTACCTGGCAAACTGACAAATCTACTGAAGCACACCACTTGGATGCTGCAGACAACTAATGAGTGAAGCTTTGAGATTATTTTTTTATTTTATTTTTTTTTGGAGAGCAGCTGCTTAAAGCTCCATAAAGGCAGCTGGGATTGTCTCAGGCGGAGACTAATAACGGTTCACCTCTTGTAAATTGCTCTGGATAAGAGCGTGATGTAAATCCACTGAAATCCACTGTAACACTGGCCAGTTGGTCTCGGAGCACAGCACTGACTTTTACCAGACATTAATACGTGCTACAGATTAATACATGAATTTTTTTCATTGTTTTTTTTTTGTCCTAACAAGCATCTAATCTCTTCCACGTCTCACTTTCTTCCCTCGGTGCTTTTCGCTACTGACTGAAAGTGCAAAAGATCAAAGTTTGGAAGAGTAGCTCTTGACTTTCCATATTGGAGAATTTTATTGAACATCGTGAAACGCTCTTATTAAAAGAGATAAAAAAAACTGTGTTTGAATTGTACGAGACGTTCTGCAGGGCCCAGTTTTGATAGGTGACTGCACTGGACCACTTTCTCAGCTTTAGGAGACCACTCAACAACTTAAAAAAAAAAACGATTCGTGAATTTTTAGACGAAGTTCAGGCAAAGTGAATATGTAAATGATTCCTGGGATTGCTTGTTATTTCCACAAGTATTTGAAAACTCCACCAGAGTGCAGTTTTTCTACATTAGCATTTATTAGGGCTGCAACCATTTCTTCTGGTGTTGATTTGTTTGGTCGATGAAATGAAAATAAAAACGGTGAAAAGTGTTTCCCGAAGCTCAAGATCTCCTCCTCAAAAGTCTTGTTTTGTCCAGAGGTGTTCAGGTTACTGTCACGGAGGAGGAAAGAAACCAGAGAAGATTCTCATTTTCAGAGCTAAAATCTGAAAATGTGGATTTTGTTTCTGTGGAAATTACTTCAACACATCTATTGATTATAGTTGTCAGCTAATCGATCAATGGTTGCAGCTCTAATATTAATGCACACTGTATAGTTTACATGCACCTCCATTAAGAAAAGGTACATTTTATGTCATAATATTTTGCAATCTATATTTTATGTGCATGTAAGTCTACACAAATTTTCAGAGTTAACCATCATATGCTGCAATATGTTTCTCAAACTGTTTTGTTTCATGGACATTTAGAGGAAACGGTGATACTGTTTTTTTTTTTTTTAAAGGATGTAAATGTGTGATAAAGGTGTGCTGAAAAATTGAATATGTGAATAAGCTACAACTTCCTTCCTGATGCCAAAGTTTTTTTTGTTAAATTCCTGTTATTATCTTATTTTTTTTTGCACCGCTGAATGTATTTTGTACACTAAGGGTTGAAATCTAAACTGTGACTGCTCGTGTGGGTGTGGCTGCAATGTGACGTTACCATGTTTAGTTGTTTATGTGTTTATCCATTAAAGATCATTTCAGTTTTGTAGAATCCGTGCAGCGGTGTATTATTTTTAACCACCAGAGGGAAGCATTCTGTCACATGTCCACTAGTGCCTGGAGAACAGCTGCATCTTTGAGGTCGTTTTTTGAAATAAATAACAAATAAAATTTGAAATAAATTAGATGATGGTGTTTGTTTTGAGGAAGGAGAAATTCTAAATGAGGGAAGTAATCCTGATACCAAAACTAAGCCGGATTTGGACTTTTATTTAAAACTAGGGTTCCATGGGCTTTGGATCAGTCAAACATCTCTTGCCTCATTTTTTCTGTTGTAAGTCGTCTTTGTTGGCTTTTTAAAGATCTAACTTGAAGAAGATTGATGCTATGTTTCTAACGCCTCCTTGGACGGATCAATGAACTTGCCAATAATCTATGACTGGGCCACCCGAGGTGCTGCACAACTCCTGCCTCAGCTCGGAGGCGCTCATAAAATGTAAGTGATGGACCAATAATGCAGCCCTATAGGTGCCTGTCTATAACACTGTATGGCATTGACTATGGGGAATGAGTTTATGCTTATTCCCATTAGGCGGGGCATGCATACAATCACCCATTTATGGCTGCGGAGGTAGTTTGATTCATTGCGGCAGAAATATCCTTCATTCATCACTATATATCCATATGAGACCTTATCAATTACCTTTATTGACCTGTGTGCTTAAATGCAACATGTAAGAGGCCACGTCCCGCGGGACAAGGAGACAATGGCTTGAATTGAGCACCATGTTGAAAAATTCAATACCGTCCATCCTCCAAGGTTTCATTTTCCTGAAACTACGTGTTTTATATGGTAATAAATAACTCTGATTTTATTCCTTTTGTGCCATCACAGATGGAAGAGAAACTATTTAAAATAAATATGTGACCTCCAGCGTTTAAAGTGGGGAAAAGGGGGACAATAGAGAAACGTGTGTGTGTGTGTGTTTGTGTGTGTGTTTGTGATGGACAAAAAAAGAGAAATCCAGGTAAGGCCGGTCTCTCTCTTTTTTTTTCTACTCTTTTCACATGACAAAATGTTGAAGAGGAGAGATGAGTGCACAGTGGGAGGACAGAGAAAAGGCTGATGGAGAGTGTTACTGATGAAAGAAAAGAACAAGGCTGTCATAGCCAGTGCAGCAATTAGGGCACTTTTGTTGCCTCAGAGCTCTATTTGGAGGTTTCTTGCCTGAAAACAGGGTTGAACCTCAAAATGGTGTCATTAAAAGAAGACAGAAGCAGAGATGTTTCGGAGAGAAACAAACATATTCCAGGTATTTGCGACATTTGATGAAAGCACAGTGGATACGCCGCCACGTTGGCATTAGACGGGTAAAGCTAACATCAGGAGTCCACAGCCGCCTTGTGTTATTTCATTTCTGAATCAAAGCGGTAGACCAACATCCAAAGAGGGAGCATGGCCACAAACGTCTGATGTGATATACCTGCCCATTTAGAGCCCCACATTCTGTACTATTCTACTTTGTGCTCCCTTACATATATACTGTTCCACATTGTCTGTTTTCCATCCTGTAGTCCTTTTTCTCCCTGCAGGCATTTCTGGCTCTTTAGCTGCATGTTTCTAATCTGCAGTTGTTGGCCTCCACAAGCTGCCAAGTGTTTATTTTCTATTGTTTGTTGTCCGTCTGCTTCTCTCTGTTGCCCTTTTCTTTCACCCCTTTGCCTTTGCCCTGACCGGTCGAGGCAGATGTCTGCCCTTCCTTGGCCTGGTTCTGCTGGAGGTCCCTTCCTGTTAAAAAGGAGTTCTTTACCTCCTATATTACAGATTCTTAACCTTAAAGACCCCTAGTGTCCATATGGTGTTCTGGAAAATGCATCATGAGTAAAAACACGCAATCAAGGGCATGGTTGAGCATTTCCACCTTAAAGCTCCAGGAGACAGCTCTCAAAAACAAGGATTCAAGTTTCTGGGCTTTCATAGTTCACAAACCCGAGGAACCGATCCGGTCAGCTTACTGGGTGATCATTCTTTTTTAGAATCGGTTTCCGTTTCAAACATGTATGGCTGAACTACTCAGGCTTGGAGCAGAGTCTTAGATGAGCTGGAGTGCTTGAGCTGCTGCAAGCAACAGAGTGGTGGGTGGAGGAAGAGCCACAGACTTCATAGATCGACAAATTCCAAAGGAAGCAATGGTATAGAATCATATTTAAGCCATTTTTTTCGGCAGGTGGGGAATATTTTCATGGAGAAGTAGCCGTCACATACAGATAGGAGGGTTTAGAGGTTTAATCAATGACTAGAGAGTGACTTTGGAAGTTTGTATGTCTAAGTTAGCCATAGTGAACTTGTGTATTATATAATATTGTAGGGTCTTTACTTTAACATGCATGATATAACATTAATCCCTTTTCTGTGTTGGAATTGGATAAACATCTGCTGCTTTAAATGTGCTTCATAAATTATCGTAACGAAGCTTACACCAAACTAGTTTGGAGTTTAAGACGAAGAAGCTTTACTAAAAGTTTTGTTTCTGGTCATCTGCCATAACGAAGCCTCTCTGACGTCTCTTCCGCTGCTAAAGTCTTTGCTGTGCTCACCCGCTCGTCTTCTATCTACTAAAAGGTGCTGGTAGAGCTGCGGATATCATATTTACTGGGGCTTTTTCTTCTTCTTCTTCATCTGGAAACAACACAAACGAATGCTACGACAATAAAGCTGCAGCCATTAGATCAAAACAATAAGCTGAAAGAAGCTGCAGTGCTCCACAGAGCTGCATTATTTCCCATAAAAACCCTGATTAGAGCATTGCAAGTTTTCATCGGAGCCCAAACTCATATTCCAAACGCGTTTTGCTTCTAATTGCCCATAAAATAATAATGCATTATTCATTAAGCCTTATTAAAGCAATAGTTTACATTAAAGCCCCCTTTGTAAGTAAACCCTATTAGATAGTGGTAACTACTTCAATGTGAGCTCTGTCTGCGCTCATATGTGTTATTTATTGTGAGTGCATGCTTTGAAGTGCGTCTTATTGATGCAGCTTTCCATATAGAAAGACAAGGCTGTCTGATTCTGACAGCTCAAGTCTAGCGTGCATATGGTAAAGCCCACACAGGCGCTCGCACAAACTTCCGCACATTTTGTGTGTGTGTGCATGTCATATGGTATTCCAAGATTGCACAGCAGGGGGTCATTTACATGTTGTAATGGGGTCTACATATCACTGCTACAGGAGATGAGAGAGCGGCGCGAGGACCCGAATGTTCCCCACAAACAGAATGTCATGTTCTGCGCCTCTTATTTACATGTGTGCAACTCCAGGGTACGTTTGATGCCCAGTGAGATGGAATATGACATCTTTGCTCACACACTGACACCGAATGTGCTTCGACGGTTTCGCTCGCCGACGAGAGAGAGGGAGAGAGAGAGAGAGTGATGGGTATTTCGGCAGATTGGTTTATTTACTTCACAGCTTATTTACTGCGCGCGCTTGTCAGGCTCGACACTGCAAATGCCACGAAGCCAAGCCAAATGATGTCTTGTCCAGCTCTCTGAGAAATTGTGTTGCTGTCAAGGGAGCCAGCATTCAAGGATTCTCCCACCAATATCAGGCTGTCTGCCAGACGTGGTCCTCCGTCTTGTTTTCGTCCTCGCCTCGTTTCGTTTTTTTTTAAATCCCTACGTTTCACCCTTCCATCCCCTTCTCCTTGCACTCCTCAACTCCTATCTTTCCACATTATTTCTACAAGTATCCAGCTTTGAAATCCAGCTCGATGTCTGACCCAGTTTCTCATGCTAGATTTCTTTTTTTCTGCACCCATCAGAGGGCAACTTCCAAAACCATACTGTGAATACAAAAATACCCAACGTGCTCATCAATTTTTTTTTTTTTTTTTAAATCCCTCTCCCCGTTCGAGAAATTGCAACAGAACGTTTCCAAAGCTTGTGTTGTGAGTTTGTGCCTCGCTACGCTGGCCTTTGGGAAATGAGCTCCTACACTTCGTACTAGGCCACAGGCGTACACATGAGCCGAAACAAGGCTGCAACCATGAGCTGAACATGGACAACCAAGGACGACGACATGGCATTGTTGTCTTTTAAAGAATGCGAGGCTGCCAAGATGGTTCTTGCAACAAAATTGGTTGATTAGTGGGGTTTTGAAGTGTTTTGAGAGGCTGGGTTTGCTAAATATAAAAGCTAGCGTCAAAAGCACACGGCCTTGTGGTTCTCCACAGTGTATGGAAAGTGTCTGGCATTTGGGGAAATGAGCTTTGTTTTGGGGGGTCACCCTTGTGTCTGCAGGCCTGTGGTGTATGGAAAGCTGCTAGAACCTGGCTAACGTAGCACAACAAATGTCTGAATTAGCTAACTTAAGGTGCACATAGATGTTTTCTTTTGAAATTTTGCACAAAGTCAGGGTAACTGTTTCTTGTTAGCTGGAAATTCAACATTACTCTGATGCCTGATAATCACACATCCGTCTGCAGCCAGGAGACCGTTACCACAAAGAATGAACACAATGCTTACTCAAGATATACTGCATCGATTTGTAAAAATGTCATTGTGTGGTGCCAGATAAGCCATCAGCTAGCTAGCTGCTAGCTTTTCCTGGTGGCCACTTAAAGTATTGCAACAAAAAAATCCCTTCAGGTCCTAAAAATCTTTCTCCACATCGTCCACCTGTATAAAATAAATATCTGTAAAACTGTTTAACCTTGAGTTGCAGAGACTAATGGTTTTTACTTATGGATATTTAATCCAAAGATGTTTAAGATTTGTGGAAAATATTTTGTTGCCTTGAAAAGTCACATCATTGCACTGCGCTAAGCACGATCAGGCTAAAATCTGGTTCAGTTTGCTCCAAAATTAAAAGATAGCAGCACTCTGGATTACACCTAGCCATTGTTTGAACATCATTCACGTCACAACTGGGTCTCCAGCTTCCACCTGGCAGGGGATTGGTCCCTGGGCACATGANTGCTGTTGACTTGTCATGAATATGAAGTTGCACAAAGGAATCCATTTTTCATGAAGAGAGTTTTTTTTTGG